TATGTATATATCTAAAAGCATGGAAAGCAGGGACACAGATGTTTGTTCATAGCATTGTGACTCCAAATGGTGGCCAAATGGTAGAAATATCCCAAACCTCCATCAGCAGATGAATGAATGATCAGAATGTTGCATACACATTCAATGAAATATTATTCAGTCACAAGGGGAATGAAATTTTGACATATGCTACAACATGGATGAACCTTGAAAACATAATGCTAAGTGAAATAAGCCAGACACGGAAGGACAAATATCACATGATTCCATTTGTATGAGATACTAGTAAAGGCAAATTCAGAGAGACAGAAAGTATAATAGAGGTTACCAGGGGCTGGGAGGCATGGGGAATAGGGAATGATTATATATCAGGTACAGAATTTAAGTTGGGGAAATTGAAAATATTTTGAGCATAGATAGTGGTGATGGTTATATAATATATCTTGAATGTATTCAATGACACTGAATTATACAGTTACAAACGGTTAAAATGATAATATTGTGTTATGTGTATTTTACCACAATAAAAAATTTTATGGGGTGGATTTGGGAAAAAAAAACAAACTAGTAAGCTTCCTTGATGGGAGGAATCAGTAATGAAAGAAAGGTTGAGAATCACTGCCTTAGAGGGAAGAGATGCTCATTAGACCCACCCAGGTCAGCCTGAATAACTGTCCAGACTAAAAGATTTTTAGCAAAAGAGGAAGCCAAGCTAGTCAACATATATGTTTTTTAAAAGCAGAAGCATTTGTGAGGATCAGCAGAAATTAAATTGTTTGAACTACCCTATGGGGTTCTCATGCATCATATTTTGTTTGTCCATAAATTAGAGGCAGTTTTATTTTCCTAATTGTCTCTTAACTAGTGTAAGGAGGTGTTGTGTGCCTATCAAGCGGCTTATTAATTTCTATCAAGACGATACACAAGATCCCCCAAAATGTAATACCATAGGGCTATAATTGATTTTTGCAAATTAACATATAAAGTTATAATCTGACTCACTGAAAACTTGTTTCCCCAATTAGGTAAATTTGGAGCAATTCATATTATGAATGCTAGCTATATTTTTCATACTTGTTCCTGGTATTCTCCTTGCTTCTGGTGGAACAAAATTTTCATTTGCAGCTTTTGGTAATGTCTCCAATGCCAGGCCGCTACTCCTCAGACGTTGTTTGCAATGTACTTTTGGTCTGGCTGGACTCATCCTAATATACTGAATAAGTATAATGACCATAACCACATCCCATCTATCTGTACAGGGCTCCTAAATTCCTGTCTCCAGCCCTGGCCTCTCCTGATCTCAGTTGCCCACTGCACGTCTTCCCCTGGAGGATGCATCTCCAAGCTAACATTTCCATGATGTCCTTATCATCCCTGCATCTTAATTCCTTAATTCCTTAATCTGTCCCCTCCTTCTGTCATCCAATAGCAAACATAGGTCTCCCATATCCTTCACTTCTCAAATCAATGACTGCTATATTACTCCAGCAGTGGCTTGGGACTGAAAAAAGTGGGGTCATTCTTGACTTTTCTTTTTCTCAAAATCTATATCCAATCCATCCTTGGATCCTATTGGCTCTACTTTCCAAATATACCCCAAATATCTACTTCTCACCATCGCCACCAGTGCCCTCTGGGCTCAAGCCATCAACACCTTTCACTGGCACCATTGCAACTTCCTAAGTCTGCTTTTTCCTTGGCTGCAGTTTATCCTAGAGCCCATTCTCATCGGAGCATCCAGGTTGATCTGGATTAAAGTCAGGTCTTGCCACCACTTGGCTCAAAGCTCTTGCTTTCTCTCTCACCCTAAGAGTAAAAGCAAGAGTACTTGGATGGTTCTTCAAGGCTCTGCCTAAGCTTGCTGGACACTTTCCCGACTTGCCTCCTACTAATCTCTCCATTCTCTACCCCTTTATTTTACTCCCAGCCATTTAATATGTTATATTTATTTTTACTTGTCTGCTTATTGTCTGTCCAGTGAGCACAGGCATTTTTAGCTGTGACGTTCATTGCTAGAATCTGTGACCCTTGGAGCAGTGTGTGGCACGTAGGATACATTCAATAATTCCTTGTTGAATGATTAACTGAATAAAGGAACATCAAAAACAACAACATCTGTTTATTGAACCTTCACTATATGACAGCTACTTCGCCAGTATCTTAAAAAAAATCTCTATGCCCCTTGTAGGCAATACCTTTTCTGTAGAGAACCAGATAGTAAATGTTCTCAGTTTTACAAGCCATACTATCTCTGTCACAACTTTCAGCTCTGCAATTGCAGTGCAAAAGCAGCTGGAGACTCTATGTAAACAAATGAGTGTGGTTGTGTTCCAATAAAACTTTATTTATAGACACTGAAATTCGAATTTCATATAACTTTCACATGTCATAAAATAATCATCTTCTTTTGACTTTTTTCTGGTCATCAAAAAATGTAAAAACCATTCTTAGTTTGTTGGCCATAAAAGAAATGAAAAAAATGAGACACAGGTGGTGGAGGGGCTAGATTTGGCCCATTAGCTGTAGTTTGCTGGCCCCTAGTTTAAGTAGTCCTTTGTACGATGGCCAACAAGCACATGAAAAGGTGCTCAACATCACTAATCATGAGGGAAATGCAAATCAAAACCACAATGAGATGTCACCTACACCTGTGAGAATGGGTATCATCAAAAAGAACACAAATAACAAATGCTGGCGAGGATGTGGAGAAAAGGGAAACTTGTATGCTATTGGTGGGAAAATAAATTGTGCAGCCACATGGAAAACAGTATGAAGATTCTGCAACAAATTAAAAATAGAACTACCATATGATCCAGCAATTCCACTCTTGGGTATATACCTGAAGAAAATGTAAATGCTAATTTGAAAACATATGTACCCTGCTGTTCACAGAGGCATTATTTACAATAACAAAGATATGTAAGCAACCTAAGAGTCCATCAAAAGATGAATGGATAAAGAAGATGTGGTGTACA